GTGCAACAACCAAGAGAGCAGAAATATTCTCTATGGACAGACTTTTTTCTGGATATCAGGACTTTTGAGTGAGAACCCTTGTGTGGTGGACCACAGGACCTGCCAGCATTTCTTGGTCGGTACACCAACTAGGTCCTTCAATGTTGGACTCACGTAAGGGCATTGTTCCATCTTACTTGAAATGAACTGCACTTTAGGTGGCAAATTAGCTTACATGTTGCAGCTAAGTGAGATGGGTATCAAGGGTCCCATTATAGATACTGGAAATACAGTCAGTAAAACCAATAGAGTCAAGAGAGCTATTCATTGCCTTGTAAAACAGATGTTGGTTATGTGATCAGATCACTCATACCCTCAACTCAGTCAGCTAGATCTCTATGGACTACAATGAGAGAGTGTAAACAACTATGATATAAAGACATGAAATTAAACCCAATCCTGTATTCCTAGGTTTTGGCTCTTCAATTGTCTTGGCTTTAAAAGAAATCACGTCAAGAAGGAGTTGGTAGCAGCAGCTCATTCAATTGGGAAGAAACACTTTAGAGACAGAGGATGAGCCAAAAATTGGGTAGGAAATTACAAGGATTCAGTCCATGTTTTCAGATTAAATCATGCCAAGATAAAATACTTCACATTCCTGACATGGTTCAAAATGTTAATTTCTAAATTTCCTCTTTAAAATCTCAGCTCAATGCAAACAGTCAAAGACACTAGTCATGACTCAACAGTCAGTGCATCCAAATCTGAAACAGTTTAAGTTAGTATATCCACCTGGTTTTCTCCTTTATGATTTTCCATTACTTCATTCTTCATATATTTTCCTTCCCATGTTTATTGCATGCAAACCCTATCAGTCATCCCAGGCTTCCATTTCTGTTTTCTTTCAAAACATTTAAACTTTCCCCAACTTGTTCATTTCCTGTAGCCAACCACCACCCAAGCAAAGACAGTTTACAATTAATACACTATAATGAATGCAAAGATGTATGAAAGTAATATGTTCCCTTTGGCTGAGTTGGTCTCTTGAAAATAAACAACTGAGAGAATTCAGTTAAAAAAAACACAGAAAACTAACAAACCCCTCCCAAAACAACCAAAAACATACACCTCACCATTGCCCACTGAGCCTAACAAGCAATATGCCCCAAGTACATTCCAATGACCTATCTAGTATCTCACCCTGAAAGTACTAGCATAAATCAAGGGTAGACTAAAACTGAGCACTTACTTACTAATTTTTCCACCCCCACTATTTTGTTCATGAAAGCTCAGGGACTTAAAGAGGGAGACTGACAGACAGAAAAGCATTTGATAGAACACACCTTGAGTAACATGGCCTAAGTGAGAGGCATCTGCTTGCAAGAGAGTACCATCAATATTCCCAGGCAAGGAATGAGAACAGCAGCAATAGTTGGTATGTATCTCACAGATAAACAAGCTGCAGAGCCCCTTCCTTACTTTTCAAAACATGCAGAAGAAGCACATGCAAAGATCTTTCCCTCAAAAGGGTCTCCAATAAAGGGAAGACTTGTTTGGCAGCACTGGTTTGGAGAGATGGAAGTTGAGAGAAGAGTTCAGATCTGTTTGAAAACCCCACTCTTAGGGATCTGGACAGCATTAACACAATTGCCTGGGGAAACTGAGTGCCTCCATAAACTGAAAAAAGCTAACTACAAGAAAAGGGAGAAATCTAGTAAAATTATGGGTTTTTCATTTGAGCACCAGACTTTCTAAAGGTGTGCCACCATTTATTAAGATTTTTCCCAGTGCCTTGCCAATTGCCGTGGCTTCCACCTGGGAGGGTAGATGAGCCTTTGTCCTTCCAGTTCTCGACCTCGGTGCTGAGACTGCCAGTGCAAGGAAATGGCAATTATCATGGTGGTTTTGTGGTGTATTCATTTTCTTCCAGCTGTCAGAACTAGAAAGGAACCATTGGAAGAGAGGAGTTCTGCCAGCTTCAAGCTGTACATCTGTTCCCATTTGTCTGTTCACACAACATGGGATGCCATCTCCCTTTTCTCTTGTGCTGGCATCTGTTTGCTTGTACTGTTTGTTCTGGAATAGCTTCTATTTCGGAGGCTGCAAAGTGAATCTCTGTGGATGAAAATGTCTTTGGGTATTTTAAAAAGAAAAGAAGTAGAGCTGTTCAGCCTCTGCTATCAGCACTAAACACTTCCCCCGAAGATAATGAAAGCTGAAATAAAACTAGCAGTGGTCCATAAAGCTACAAGGAGAAGCAGCTCCTTCACTCCTCAGCTTGTACAGCAGGACTGGGAGATTCTGGAGCTGGGGAGGCTAATTCTGATTCAAATGGGACAAATTACAGCTAATCAAAATGATCTGGTAGGACAAGGATGGATGATTTATGCAAGCAGAGGATTTAAAAGCCTATTGGACCACTGTAATGATAGATTTTAAGCACACATAGGACTCCCATTATCTACACAGCCACAGAAATGAGAATTTATTTAGGATGAACTGTCAGATGAGAAAGCAGCAAAATATTTTGGTATTTAAAAAAAACACCAACAAACTATGTCTGAGGTTCTTACTATAAAAAAAAAAAAATTAACATACAAAATGTCTCAGTTGCAGACTCAAAACACAGTGAGTTTACAACAGACGGTTTGGATTTTAAGAAGATAAAAGTCTCAGAATGGCTCTGCATGACCTTTGAAACAACAGGAATACAGACAGTTGGGGAACACGATCCCAGGATTACGGGGTAGTTCGTAAGCTTTACAGAGCGAAAGATTATAATCAGGGCTTGAGAAAAAAAGCAGCAATCATTTCACCACTGAAAAGGACACAAAACCAGCTTCTGCTTCCCTGCGTCACTCTCAGGCAGTTCCAAATGAGCACTTTTTACTCACTGTAATAGTTTTACATGTAATAAAAAAAGCAGAGGAGGAATATATGACCTTTGAAATTGATCTCGAGGGGTTCTCATTTTTTTCTTTCTCTTTAAACCAAGCCAGCCTAACTCTACGTAGCTTCAACTTGAGCAGCAGAAAGGTGGTCAGAACTTTTAGAACAGGTTCGCAGATCTAACACTGGAATTAAATGTTCATTTTGAGCAAATGAAACTCACCATCCAATTAAAGAAACAACAGTGTTATCCACTTTTACAACGTGTTTTATTCCATGATACTGCATTAAAATAGGTTACACTTTTTAGGTGAAAAAGGAAGACTGGGGAAAATGTGAGCCCACTGCTGAATGAGACAGGGTACCTCGTTACACACAACATGGAAACGGCTGAAGTACTGAATGGTTGCTTTGCCTCAACCTTTTACAGCAAGACCAGCCCTCAGGAATTCCAGGTCCCAGAAACCATGGGGAAAGGCTGGAGCAAGAACAATAGACCCTTGGTGGAAAAGGAACAGGTCAGGGAATACTTAAGCAAACTGGACATAGGTAAGTCTAATGGGCCTGATGGGATGCTCCCATGAGTGCTGAGGGCCACTGTCCTGCAGATGAAAGAGTGGCCTGCACATGACATTGTGAGGCCACTCTCTGTAATTTTTGATCAATAAAGGTGAATGGGAGAAGTGCCTGAAGCAAGGAAAATGACCCAGGGAACTATGGGCCAGTCAGGCACACCTCAGTGTGGAGGAACTAATGCTGGAAACCATTTTCAGACACATGAACCAGATGACTGTCATCAGGAGTAGTCAGCATGGCTTCACCCGGAGGAAGTCATGCTTCACCAACTTAATAAGCTTCCATGATGAAATGACTGGCCTAGTAGATGAGGAGAGAGCAGTAGATATTGTCTACTTGGACTTCGTGAAGGTCTTCAACACTGTCTCCCATCCTGTGATCCTCACAGACAAGCTGTTGAGGCATGGGTTGGAAGTGCATAGAAAATTGGCTGAATAGCTGGGCCCAGAGGACTATTATGAGTGACACAAAGTCTAGTTGGAAGCCAGTAACTAGTGGTGTACCCGAGGGATCAGTACTGGGTCTGATCCCATTTAAAATCTTCATTAATGATCTGTATGATGGGCAGAGCATATCCTCATACTCCATCCTTTGAGCCAACATTTATAACATGATTTTTCTGTCTTCACCATCATTCCTGAAAAAGTTCCACTATATATACAGCCATGACAGACTTGTTAAAAGTGCAGTCATGTCAACCGCAACATGCAATCACCCCGCCATGCAGCATTCTTCAGTTTCAGTATTGCATAGGTCTTCTACAACAAGAATTGTGAGAGCTGCTAGGCAGCAGTATTTTAATTTCAAATAGAAGAGGTCTTACAATGTACTGAGAAGTTACGGCACTATCTTGCAAGATGACTGAAAGATACAAAACCAGATGAATCCCTGGCAGTAGAAAAGCAACTCAGAGAACATCATGTATTAAATACTCACAAAAAAAGAAGATACTCAGTATCCTTTGAAAGAAATCAGTTGCAAAATGCCTCTGAACTATTGTCACTACCAACTTCCAAGATCCATAATTTGCCTGTGAAGGTTCTGAGGTTACCATTAACCCAGTTTCAGTTACTTCTCAAGCACAGGCTGATCACCGCAAACAGCAACCAGAACAACAGATTTCTGTTGTTCGTAGAAGTAAGAAAGCATGACGTGTATGAAGTTCAAACCTATTGCCATAAATTCCTTCAATTTGAAATACTTCAGGTCTTCATCTGAACACAGGACAGTTTTTAGCAGTCTCTTCCCCTCAGTAGTTATATGACAGTTTTGTGAGCTGTAAGTGGCAAAATTTGATATGCAAAACGAAATAGTAGAATATATTCCTAAACTGTAACTTTGAAAGCATAGACTAACCAAAGCTCAAACATGAATTGCTTTAGGTAAACAATGTTGGGATGATTTTAACTTTTTGATTAAAGCTTCCTTACATCAGGTGTTTACATGAACTGTCAAGAACTGCCAAATGCCAGATAAGACAGCTTCCCTTGCCTACGGAAACAGCACTCACATAGAGATACATATATCTAGTATATATACAATGTCAAACAAAACAGTTACAACAATGAACAAACTATTTTATTTTTGTTGATAGATAAGAACATCCCATTGGAAATAAAGAATAAAAAATATATTCTGCTACAACACTGAACACTTGAATCTCACACTACAGCACACTGTGAAATCCAGGCACTGCAACATCACAGTAATCCCTGTGCATATGGGTGTACAGAAAGCCTTGAACAAATATTTATACTCAAAACAGTGCCATGTACAAAAATGTCATTCCATAAAGGCCAAACAGAAAATTTAAACATCTTTGTTTTTCTTATGCCAATGGCAACGTAAAAAATGAAAACTGTTTTCAGTCAATTACTTCCACTTAAATTGTGTGGGATCTTTTTACACTGAAGAACTCTGAAAATCAACATAATATAGCATGGAAGAAGTAAGGTATAGACAATACACTGAACATGTGGGGCACGATGTTTTCGTCAGCATATAACTAACTTTCATATGGTTATGCCGACAATCAAGTCAGGATTTTCCTAACAGAAAGAGAAAACATTCTGTTTCTTTAATCAATGCTCTGACCTTTTCTTACTAAAAAGGGCATGCTTGTATTATTCATCTAAGCATATATGCACCACAAAAGATACACAAAACAAATCGATATAGATAACCTTTAGTGTCAAATGATGTAATCATAAAAACAGTTCTCAAAATCCAAATGACTTGATAAATTCAAATTACAATGCAGTCACTTAAGCTAACAAAATACTTGGGACACTTACGAGCCACAAAAATTATTCTGCAGCAGTATCTCTGCTCAAACCTGAGGAATATCAGACTATTGGTAAAGCAAGGCATTTTCAGAAAAGGAATTTGTAAAAAATACTTTTATACTATATGCTTTCATATAAAAAGGCAGTAAGAAATATAATAAATCTACCATTTTAAGACTAGACCTTCCCTAGGAAATAGTTTTTATCACTCACACTATTACATACAGTACATTCAGTTTCCTACACAGAAAATATATTTTCTTGTCCCTGATGTACATTACAATCGGCAGTGACAACAAACTGCTATATTATCACCACTCATTCTTGCAGCTTATACAAACAGCACCAAATTTACCCAAAAAAGGCTTATTAGTTACATAGTAGCACTTCCTAATAGGAAATATAAGCCCAAACCACTGGAACCAAATGCCTCTTTCCAGAAATATACCAGAATATATGGCTCAGAGTTAAGGGATGAATAACCAAGAGTATTGCATAGTACAGGAATCCTGCCTGTATGAATAAAACCACCCTTTGATTGTTTGTCACCTTCTGACTCCAAGAATGAACAAAAAAAATTTAAACAGGTGCTAATGAGTATGGAAGTAGTACACAACCAAATTTACTGGTAAACAAGAAATTGTACAGTTTTCTCTGACAGAGTGCAAAGTACACATTAAAAAAACTGAATACATACATACAGTGTGTATGTATATTTATATATATAGTATATATTTCCCTGACACATACAAATGTATATATAAAGAGCATGAACACACATATCCATGCCAAACTTGGCAGAAAGATGGAATGTTTAAAATGTGGATGCGCTGTTCCAGTGAAATCAGTCTGTCCCAGAAATGGCTGGTTTAAACAGCCAATATGCCCTTTCATGAAACAAAAGTATTTATTCCCTGCATAAATTGACAATATGTTGTCCTCATAACTTAGCAAAGGACTGAGAAGCAAACTTTATAAAAGCTTATATTTGTATTAAGCCCTATCCTCCATAACCCTAACCTCCCCACACCTCCGACCCCCATGAACAAATCTTATGGCTACTTCCTTTACAGAAATCTAGGAAGAATAATCTAGAATAATATACTTGAGTCTTACACTGCTGGAGGACTAGACACAGTATTCATTACGGAGATGAGACCTTCTGTTTTAAATTTTTCCTGCAAAATAAAAGTTTATAGCCACCCTTGTAAAAACTGTTAACACCTGATGCTGGTTTGTTTTATTATTTTGCTTTGGGATTCAGCTGTTTTGGTTGTGAATACGAACACGTTGGTTGAAGTCTGTAACAGAGATCACAGGATTGGAAGAGCACTGTCACCTGGCCTGCCTGTCCCCAGTATGATCCCCTGTCCTTCCCTGCAAACCTTCTGAAGCAGTTCACAAAATACTAGTGTAATACAGATTATATCCCTCCCCAATTTATCCTGAATGTCTTATTTACATTGTGAGAGCACTTTCAAAAAATCAAGATGATTTAGATCAGCAAAATTGTTCCAATGGCTATGGCTGTAAACCTGAGAGCTTAGTGCGAAACAAACACACGTACTTGTGGTGCATCCCCACAGGCTAGTACTTTCCTTGTTTAAGTCTTTCAATGTGGTAGCACAACTTTAGGGCAGGCCCCAGCTTCAGTCCCATATATTTCATTATCATATCACTCCTCAGTAAGAGTAGTGCCTTCCCATCGATTTCCTACAGAAGGAAGAGAAGAAACACAACACACAACTACTTTAACAAGCTGCTTGGTAAAACTGGAAAGTACGTTACATTTGTTTATCCTACAGTATAAGGTTATCTACTTTATATAAAACTTTGTAACGTAGTACAATTTGATATTTAGAGGTAACCACTGAAACTGAATTCATGTTAGTATTTTTTTAATGTATGGTTGAGGTATTTGATAAGTTAGAGAACATTACAGTAGGTAAAAGAAACAGACCAAAGAGCCCTCAAAATTAGGTACTGGCTGGGAAAAAAAGTGAATGGGTCAAAGGGAAAAAAAAAAGGAAGCTGCAAAGGAAGGGCTGTGCAGTTAGTGATTAAATGATCCAAGCACTGAGGCCTTGCACTGAACCTTGAACACAGCTGTGGGAGGATTCTGGCATGCGCATGCAAACAGTCACACAGAGAAAGGGGTTACAGACCATCTAAATCTGTGAAGTAAGACAGATCTCTGTCCAGGTTAAACTAGACAGATTGTTAGGATCAAGACCAACGACAACTTAGTCAGATTTCAACAGCCGGGTTGAGAAGCTGCTGAAATGTGACAGTACTAAGCTCTTGCCAGCATTACATACTGTAGACAGGCAATTAGTTCCTTAAAACACCATAAAGAAAACCACTCTGTCTAATTTTTTTTAAACATAAACCTGACAAAACAAGTGACATTTAGTCTTGTTATACAACTAAGAATAAAACATAAGACAGGAAGCTCCATTAAAAGTTATTTTCAGTTTTCTGTCCAATCCAGCTTACCCTGAGACTTAGCTGTTAGTAGGAGCTGGTGCAGAACATGTGTGGAAAATACTAAAGAGAAAGCCAACCTCTTTTTGAGGGCTGTATATACAATCAAATAAGCAAGCAGTTTTTTGCTGAGCAACGTGCTATAGAAAAGCACGGTGAGAAGGAAGAGGAGAGACCAGTAATAGCACAGAGAAACTGACAAAGTTCATCTCTCTAAAGACAACATTTAATCTTACAAAACCCTACATACTGTTTTTCAAAACAGCTGAATTCAGCATTTCAACTGATTCTCTGAGTTCTAGTATTAGTGACCAAATGTAAAGTTAAAGAGGCATAACAGCCTCTACTTTAGGATAATCAGTCCTCAAAACAAACTGTCTTAGGTGACATCTAGGTAGGCCAAATGTCCCAAACTGTACATGAGAATGCCATCTCCTCTAGAGGTACCAGGGATGACAGGGGCACTATGGATGCTGGTCATTAGAACTTGGATGCTTCTAGTATCAGTGTTACTCCACAGAAACTGGAAAGCAGTGGATATTTAGTGTAACAAGATAGGAGCACAGAGAAGATATACTGCAGGAGGAGTTTCAGATGGAAAAATAATTTTCAGCCTCCCTCTAATATATGAGTAGAGTCTATTCTACCTTCAATTGCAAATAGAGTGATAGAGATGGAAGCTGTATTTTAGGAGATTAATGTGACACACAATCTACTAGAACAGAATGGATATGCATCATACATGTCTCCTAAAGAGTTCTGCATGTGGAGCTAGTGCCTGTGGATCAGCTTCTTTCACAAAACGCATTACTTCTTCTATTGACCAGGTGGAAGGATCCTTATTCAATATTCTTGAAGGTTCCCTTTTTAGTGAATTCAAATCTGGCCCAGTTGTGGAACTTGCAGCTTTTAGTATAAAAATATTGTGAAAAGAAGAAGTATCACTAGTCTATACAGGGATAATACATTTCACTTTACATAAGACATTCTTAATATTAACATGTGGCTTTTATTATGCATTCTTTGTAGTATATAAAAATGAAAGATGTTTTATTTTCCCCCAAACAACATTGAGCTGTTCCATTTCTCTTTAAATGCCTTATATAAATACACATATTTACAGCAGCATAAACATTAGCACTATGACACACCTAGAGGAATTAGTTTGAGTTATACTTGGCTCCTGGGTCCCAAGATGCCATTAACTGGGAACATAGCAAAGGCAAGTTAAGCTGTGCAGACAGAGGGAAGGACAGGAGGAAACCCTCTCCCCATATTTCAACAACACAGAAATCGGCAACAAGATGCTCAGGAAGTGAGCTGCATATAGCTGGTCCTCTCCAGTTTGCCTTGCTGCAGGGGCCATAACAGCAGTGAGAGGAAGGTGCAGCAGGCAAGACCCCTCACACCAGCTTGCACTGCAGTGTTAGTTCTAACAGTCTTCAGTTCTGTATTTGCAGTTACATTACCAAGCCTGACATGCTTGGCAATAGCACATTTCATTCCATATGCAAGCTTTTTTATGGCAAAGAGCTTCTTTATTCATAACTCACAGACTTTGTATGTTAACAAAACCATTTACGTATTTAGGAAAATTTAGTTATATAGCATACCTTCAATCCGCCTCTGCATTCGATTCCTACTAACTTCATAGTAACCGCTGCTCCCAGCAGAGCTCAAGGACAGCCTGCGCAGGACTGGGGCTGAATTGGAGGTAGCATTCACTGACTGATGGGAATTTCTGTAATATGGTGCACCTCCTGAAGCACGATACTCTGTAGAATTTTGACAGGTTGGGCTTGAAGGATTTACAGAATTGTGTGCAGAGTCCAGAGAGTCCTCAGAAAATCGGTGTTCTTTGGAAGTGCTGTTTTCCTCTATAGGCAATGTTTCTGCTACGCAAAAAACAAGTATGTGTATGTTCAAAGTGATGGACATTATATCATTGTTATTGAACCCCTTACTATATTCTCTTAAAGATACTGACAGATTGTAAGCCTGTTAACAAATCTCCTGTGAGGACATTACTGTTGCTGAATGTTTGCTCCTTTTCCTCTACTAATCACCGAGCTCTTCCTGTATCTTTAAAACCTTTTTTTTCAGCAGAAGATTTAATATGTCAAGTTTGTGACGGTCTTCCATAAATAATTCCAGTTGTATTTGTTAAATACTATGAACAGCGAAGTGACAGGAATTTTTTTTTTAGGTAAAACTGTCCAACATTAAAATTGATACATCAAACAATTTTAGTCAAGCATTTTCATTATCTTTTTTTTACACTATTCTCAAAAAGCTAAGCATTAAGAATGTGTTACATTTATCTTGCAAGAAATCTTTATTATAAATAAAAGCTCATGCTAACTAACAATCGTTTAATTTGTTCCAGACAGCAGAGGGAGTCACTAACTTCATAAACAAGTGGACAGTTATCTTCTATAGATCCCAATGCATTCAGACACAGAGGCCATCATTAAAAACTGAATAGGTTAGAGACAAAACCATTACAACTACAGCACTCTAACATAACAAGTTTTGACTAAAACCCTTTCTCTACATACAGTTAGTTCTTGGCACAGGGCAGGGTCTCTGAGCACAGACTCTGGAAAGCTAAAAAGATACATGCGAATTACTGAATCCACTAAGCAAGTTAAAAAAAAAAAACAAGCCAAAAACCCCCACATAAACCAGGTCTCCGAAGGAAGTATAACAACATTCCCGTTTTTAGTTCCTAGCACTTCTCAGCTGATTTCTACTCTGCAGAACACAAACAACACCCACTTAGAAGACTCATGAATTTTTAGAGCCTGTCAATACAGTTTCTAAGCCAGATGAGCAGAGTTCAGCTGGTCCCTTTCCCTGTGCCATGAGACATGAGGCAGGTTTGCTTGATTACTGAAAATTCCGCTCTCAGTCAACCAAATTCGGGTCTGACTGGGAGAAACATGCTATAAGAGGAATAAACCCAAACCCAAACAGATCAGAACACCACTCTCTTCTCTAGCAATCATATATATTCTACTCCAGGCCAATACCTAGCCCAAAAAAAAGTTGGAACCATGATGTATAAATCTGTACGAAACAAATGTTGCTTTGGCAGGAGACTTAAGAGCTGGAAAAAACAGCTAACAGGTTCACATAAGTGTTAACCCCACACTACCATCTTGAAAATTACTCTAGTGAAGTTATAAAACATATGCTAGCGAAGCAGCATACTCTGGCATAAGAGCTGGCATGTTCTGCAAAACAAATTCCTGAAATGAGCTTTTTACTACTCTTCTTATATGATAAAGTTCAATCATTTTTTGGGCCAATTAAACCTAAAGGAAGAGTATTTTCCTAAAAAACCCTGTGAGGTTCTCAAGCATGTTTTCAACTTGCCTCATGAGGTCTTAAGTTCTCTGAGTGAAGAACTGTTAAGCACATTCTGATCTTCAGACAGCATAATCCTGAAAGGCAACCAAGGGCACTCAGAGCCAGCTCCCTACTTAGTGAATGTTAAGTAAGTGAAAGATGATGGAATCACAGAACAGAATCACAGAATCATTTAGGTTGGAGAGGACCTTTCATTAAGTCCAACCATTAACAACCACTGCAAAACTTTCTAGGCTGTTAGATCTGAATCCCAAAAGCAAAGCACTGAAGTTTTCAAAGAAAACAAACAAGAAAACTAACTTTTCTACATTTGTCAGCTTGAAGCAGTTGCAGCAACTTATCAAAATGAAAAGAAAACCCCATCATTCTATAGAATTTCAGAAAACTTTAGGAGATGTAGCCCATGATATGCATTATAAAATTAAAGGGTAGCCAACCAAGGGACAATTAGAGCCATAGAGAATGAAATCAGTAACAGAAATCTCAGTCCAAGACCAAAGGCGGAGGTGATAACTTTAAATAGTTACAACAAAGCTATATAAAAGAGCCTAACACTTAACTCAACCTGCAAACTCAGATTTCTGAAGTCATGAATGCTAGGATGAAACAGTGGAGACAATACTCACCAGCAGAAAATTTCAACTAGGGTATTTAAGCATGTACCAGCCAACTCCATGTAATGTAGTTATTAAAAAAAATACAAACAACTTCTTGTAGTTTTAATAGTAAAGAAGCAGAGGTCCCAAATATAGGTGTTTTTTTTTAATAATTGTTTTACACAATCCTTGTCAAGATTTCAGAAGACAAAAAGATTTTTAAAACTGACTGTATTACAAAAGAATTTCATTTTTTTATTCCAGTTATATCCCAGATTTCTCTATAAAGTTATACATCCTAAATTAAACAGTAGTAAATAGGGCTGGGAAAGATCAACTCTGCATTTTTCCCCAAGATACAAGCATTTGAATTTATCCTACTGTAAATTCTCATTTCACATACACAAGGTGGAAAAGCGGGCATAATTCCTATCATCTTTTTGAGAAGGTGTTTCTGTTCAGCAACTATACCGTCCAGTCCACTTTCCACCCATTTAGCTTCTCTTCTAACACAATGCAGCTGCAATCTGATGAAAAAGTGGTCAACTGGTATGACAGCTGATTCAAAATTGGCAGCTAGCAAATGGAGCTTCGCAATGCATGGAGCAATGAATGACACGCTTCTCCTGCCTTGACATTTTGAGCAGTTGTGAGCTATAGTGGTATGGAAAGACATGGGAGGTTCCTCTGCAGCATGCCTGATCTCTGGGCAGATTAATAAAAGGCCAATAAAAGGCCTTATGTTTCAAATGTAAGGATGACAACAGACTGTTTAAACACAGACGTTTTTGTTTTCTCAGAGCTCTTCTGGGAATTAGAACCCAGTTGTTCTGCCTCATACATGAGGGGAATGATGTAATCGGCCGCAGTAGTAAGAACACTCTGTTTTCAGGGGGAGGGAGACCGAATAATTCCCACCCAACCACCCTTTATTTTTCATAACTTAAAGAAGAAACTGTCAGTGAGCAAGAAACACAGCAAAATCTGCAAAACGTATCCCTGAGCACATCAGAAGGAAAATGAGCTGTTTAAAAGACCCTTTCCCACAATTATTCCATTTTGCCTTCAAATGATACTTCAAAACTATTTCAAAACAACTGTGTCTCAGTGGAACCAGAACTTTTTTGGGGCGGATCTTCTCTCTAACCAACCCGTGACTGACCACTACAAAAATTACCTCCAGATTTTTAGCAGAGGACCTTACCCTAATGGGAAACACACAACACTGGAGAACACTTGGCCCCTGAAACGCACAGAGTACAAATTCAAGCCTCTGAAACCCCAACAAAACACTTAATTATCTTTTTTATTATGCACTTTATAATGAACTATTGATCTTAAAATGTATTTTAAGGAGTACACTGTCTTCATCCATAAAAGGGATCCATTAGCAAACACAGATTAAAAAGCAGTATGTGCATACATGTTCACTCTGAGGAAGATTTCTTACGAGATAATGCAGATCTACACCAACATTTGTTTTGCTCCAACTGAAACAACTTCATTTTAGTATAATTCAGTGTTCTACACTTACTAAGTTACCTATAAGAAATATATGACTCAGGTGTACAATATATCTGTGGAGTTAAGCAAGTACTTCTTTTGGAAAGACACAGAAATCAATAATCAACGCAGAACTGTATTTTCTGAGGCTGTTATTATATACAAAGAAGTGAATACCCTACATATATATCTATAAAGTAATAAGATGTACCATTTTAAATAAGCTATCTTTTTGAACATTTTAATTTTATACCCTTTTCTGCTCTAACTGTACTCCTATGAGTTTTTAATCTGCACAGAAGAGATCATCACTCTGCCCCCACTGGTCCTGACAGACACAAAATGACACCAGGATCTCAGAAAAGAAGAAAAAAAAATGAGGAAAGAAATAACTAACTGCCATCATATTAAAAAAAAAAAACAAAAAAACACAAAATAATAAAAAATAAAATAAAAAAAAAAGCCGTTGGAAGCGCTGTGCAAGTATCTTGCAGCAAGGGAAAGTATGTATCAGACGTATCAGATGGGATGAGTCAACACCAACAAGTTACCCTGGTTTAACCAGTTAAGTAGCAAATGCAGAGTAAAAAACCCCACATTTTCCTAAGTCTCTCTTGTTGAGGCTTAAACCTAGATGCTTTATGTTATCTGTGAGGCAGCCTAAGACTAGATACATGTTCAGTTACTGCAGCTGAGCCGCAGCACAGGAAAAGATGCTATTCATCAGTGAGCTAAATCGATCTACAGCTACCCTGGCCACGGCTGCATTTTATTCAACCCTTTCCTGTGCTCATGCAAGTGCACAGTGAATCAGTCCAGAAAAGGAAACTGCAAATGACTCTTCCCTTCACCAAAATTATGTAGCAAATAGAACACAGACTAGGGACAATGTGGGCCCTCTCCGGAAGCTATCAGAACTGGCTACCCTGGATTTGGGGTAGGTTCTGAATGACGTCTTTCCCTCAGTCTTCACTAGCAAATGTTCCAACCCACCACCCAAGTCTTGGACGGGAGATGCAGGGACTGTGAGAATTAAGACCTTAGGCCCACTGTAGGAGAGGATCAGGTTTGAGATCATCTTAGGAACCTGAATGTGCACAAGTCCATGGGACCTGATGAAATCCATCCATGCAGCCTGAAGGAGTTGGCAAATGAAGTTGCTAAGCCACTGGCCATCATATTTGAAAAATCATGGCAGTCAGGTGAAGTTCCCATTGACTGGAGAAAGGGAAATATAACCCCCATTTTCAAGAAGGCGAAAATGGATGACCCAGGGAATTACAGACCAGTCAGTCTCACCTCTGTGCCTGGCAAAATCTTGGAGCAGATTCTCCTAGAAGGCATGCTAAGGCACATGAAAAACAACAAGGTGCTTGGTGACAGCCAGCATGGCTTCACTAAGGGGAAATCCTGCCTGACCAATTTGGTGGCCTTCTATGATGGGGCTACAGAACTGATGGACAGGGGTAGAGCAATTGATGTCATCTACCTGGACTTGTGTAAAGCGTTCGACACTGTCCCACACGACATCCTTGTCTCTAAATTGGAGAGACATCAATTTGATGGATGGACCACTCGGTGGATAAAGAACTGGCTGGATGGCCGCACGCAAAGAGTTGTGGTCAACGGCTCAATGTCTGGCTGGAGACCAGTAACGAGTGGTGTCCCTCAGGGATCGGTGTTGGGACCGGTCTTGTTCAACATCTTCGTCGCTGACATGGACAGTGGGATTGAGTGCGCCCTCAGCAAGTTTGCCGATGACACCAAGCTGTGTGGTTTGGTTGATACCCTGGAGGGAAGGAATGCCATCCAGAGGGACCTCGACACGCTTGTGAGGTGGGCTGATGCCAACCTCATGAAGTTTAACCGTGCCAAGTGCAAGGTCCTACACGTGTGTTGGAGCAATCCCAGGCACAGCTACAGGTTGGGCAGAGAAGAGATTCAGAGCAGCCCTGTGCAGAAGGACTTGGGGGTGTTGGTTGATGAGAAACTGAACATGAGCTGGCTTCAGTGTCCAGTCGCAGCCCAGAAAGCCAACCGTATCCTGGGCTGCATCAAACGTAGAGCGACCAGCAGGTTGAAGGAGGCGATTCTGCCCCTCTGCTCTGCTCTTGTGAGACCTCACCTGGAGTATTGTGTTCAGTTCTGGTGTCCTCAACATAAAAAGGACATGGAACTGTTGGAACAAGTCCAGAGAGGGCCACGAGGATGATCAGGGGACTGGAGCACCTCCCGTATGAAGACGGGCTGAGAAAGTTGGGGCTGTTCAGCCTGGAGAAGAGAAGGCTGCATGGAGACCTCATAGCAGCCTTCCAATATCTGAAGGGACATATAAGGATGGTGGGGAGGACTTTTCATTAGGGACTCTAGTGACAGGACAAGGGGTAATGGGTTCAAACTTAAGCAGGGGAAGTTTAGATTGGATATAAGGAAGAAGTTCTTTACTGTGAAGGTGATGAGGCACTGAAATGGGATGCCCAAGGAAGTTGTGAATGCTCTATCCCTGGCGGTGTTCAAGGCTGGGCTGGACAGAACCTTGGATGACATGGTTTAGTGTGAGGTGTCCCTGCCCATGGCAGGGGGGTTGGAACTAGATGATCTTAAGGTCCTTTCCAACCCTAACTATTCTATGATTCTATGAAAATGTTTTCTGTGATTCTGCTCACTGGTGCAGCTCACCACTCAGCCGGAGGGGCTGTTACCCACTGCAGAGACAAAGAGGCAAGGAAAGCAGAAGCAGAACAACTTTTCACTGGCAGCTAGCCATAAACTCAGCTGAATTGTATCATCAAGCTACACCCTTACTCACTTAATGGCCCCAGCCTAGAGTTATTAAGAATTGCTTCCAATTTATCTCCTAACTCATTTTGGCACAATTGGTTTTCTGCTAAATTGTCATATATGAAGCAGGAGGCTTCATCTGTCACCTATCTGCCTGAGCCCCTTCACAAAAAAAGACTAGCAGGTTTAGGAGGAGGACTGCTGGAACTCACACTAGATCTTTCCTAAGTGCAAAATCTGCACCAGTGATCAATAATTAACATGCTTTCACTCTGACCTGTCAAAGACTAGAGACAAACCAGACACATATGTTGTACTTGGTCCTCTTTGATTGGAAATGCTGAAACCATAAATAATCCTCATATATAATCCCGACATAATGTAATTACCTTCAGATGGATGAGCATCATTTCTGGGAAGCTTAGGGGAAAGAGGAGCACTATACGGTGGAGAGTCCTGGGAGTATCGTTTAGCAATCCTGTTTTCAGGCATTTCTTCTTTTGCTATGAAGAGGAAAGTCACCAGCTATTATTCTAGCATAAAGCTGCTCATGGAGAAAGTTAGGGGACAAAGACAAAGACACACATCAGCCATTCATCACATTACAGTTCAGCTTCTTGGGTCACACAGACTCAAGTCATTTTGATACAAACTTCCAAAGCAGAAATACAGCTTAGTCTGTACTGTCATCACCCAAATTACCTTGACCCTAGCTACTTTTCTAAGAAAATAAAAAAATAAAGAAATAAAACTAATGACCTTCACATGACAGAATTAGAAACATAATTTCCCTCTTGAAAAGGCAGTGGTGGGGAATTCTACAGTAGCACCCAGAAGACAGACTCGGCTATCAGACAGCTATGAGGAAGCTTCACACCCAATATGAGTCTTCTGGTATTGCTCTGATGTTAAGGTTTTCTTAGTTATGGCTCCTGGTAACCCCCAGGCTGGAGCTTGCGATACCAGGCCTGGCAAACAACCTGATGAGAGATCTTGCACCAGCCACTTCATTTTGCCCTCACTCTATGCTCCTGGTGCAGCAGACAGTTATTGGCCTCATACGAAGTATCAAAAGCAGCCACCTAAAAAACCCACCTTTTCTACTAGAATGCTGGACTGTACACAGTAGAATGTAAACAGTTTGGAGCCACCACTGAGTAAGGTGAATGAAGAGGGAAGAAACGTCCTTTTTTTGGTGTGGGAAGGGCCAGACTGAATACTCTTTCAGGGGAAGGCCCTTCTCATAAGGCAGTAAATATCTTTTTGTAAGTTTATTTTATGATCTGAACATAAATTTAACAAATGAAATGTGAAGTTTTGAGCTTGTCCTTTTAGTAGTATCACAGTGATACATGTTTCCTGGCTTGGCTACAAGGAGGGGCTTGCTGAACAAAATGATTTTTGCACATGTGGTATAAGCTATCCCATCCTGTAAAAGCACTGTGACGCTGGAACCAATTCACTAAGAACTGAAGCATATTCATTTCAATCAACTCACGTCATAGAAAGACAGATTAAAAAGTTACATGTGACGAAGTCGCCACATTTCTCAAAAATATCAGCACTTGAAAATAACAGTTGTTTTAACAGTACCTGGTTTGTTCCTATCATACTCCATAGGACTATGTGCACATCCCATGTAAGGGCTGAAGGGCTGGCTACTAAAGAGATTATCACACTGCAGGCTGTGGCAGAGTTTCTCCAAGAAGCGCAGGACAAACGATGCGCTGTTTACAGAAGGAAGATTGATGGCGTGCTTTTCCCCATCAAAGGAAGCTGTGAATAAGAAGATGATGTCAAACACCCTCCAAGCATCATGAAGTATGGTAAAACACCATTATTAACTTAAAGGAGAAGACATGCAGATTTGATTTAAACTACACAAGACAGGAGAGGCGTAAGCAATCATTCTGGTAGTTTAACAAATTTACATCCAAAGGACAGATTTTACCTTCCATGCCAGTTTAAATTTGCTCTATGGGAACTTTTTTTTATAATTTTTTTAATTGAAATAATTTTGGATTCACACACCAGCATAACAAAACTTGCAACTATTCCCTCATCACCAAAACCTTATGAGTAATTTCTGTTGGTTGCTTATAAAACAGCAAGTTCTCCACCACCTACTTGCAGGAGATAACACCAAAAAGATGCTTTGCAGTACTTGCTAAAAAAGTAATACAAAAAAAGGGGGGTGGGGGAAGGAAGCAAACAACTTTTTAGATTTTTTTTTCTTTCCTCAGTTTCTAACTGAACTGAGCACACTTGTGGTGACATGCTGGAATCCATTACCATTGAAATTCTGATTACAGAAACTGTTTTGCCATTTGCTACTTTATCACTAGAGAAATCTATCCTGCTGTCAACACTACAGTGGTCAAGCTCCCATTTATTTCAACAGGAGCTAGGTGTGAGAGATACCACAACAGCCACAAATGGATCTTGTGTCTTTTAAAGTGAGTGATTACAAAGAGCCTGGACATGTGCGTATGTCTTTTGCTTGTTGACCTCCTTCCTTTTCCTCCCAGAGTGTTGCAACTGACCACATTTTCCTTTATTTTTTTTTTTTGTGGAGATTAGTAAGACTTTGAAAGACTCACTACTACCAATATATGGACAAATAGTTACATTAATTTCATTAATTACACTAATTAATTACATTAGCTGAAACTTTTAGTTACTTCTGATTAGAAAGACATTACAACAAAGCAGGAACAAACTTGTTACTTAATCTCAGGGCTAGAAAGAAGTGGCATAAACACCAGGTTTATGCATCAATTTGTCTTCTTGATTTTCAGCTTGTCATGCAGCTTTCTGTTGTTAATGTAAGTTTCCAAATGATAAGCAGAGCTTTAAAGGATCACATCTCGTTGGTAGCAGATGCATTTAAAAAAAAAAAAAAGGAAGAAAAAGAAACACAAAAAAAAAAATCCAAACCAGAAATGACAAGAAAGCCTTTATTCACAGATCTGAATTAAGGAACACTTTCATATTGTGTTACAAAAGAGACACATAATATACACAAAACTGAAGAAAATGCTGAAGTTTAGCATATTTTAGGCTTCCTGATGAAATCATAAGTGTCAATTACTTACACCACTGATGTAAGGAAGCTTCTGATTAGAGTTAATGAAAGTTAACCAGCTACAATCAACAGCAACATGGTACCTCTCTCATCTGCTTTCACGACAGACTGACCCACTGCAAGCGCTTAAAGTTTAAGAGTTAATACTACAGGGACAAATCCCAGACCAATGAGTTTCCATGGCCCATTCGGTTTTTCCAGGCTCCAATATTCAAATGAAATACCAATGATTCACAGTCCCATATGTGGCTCAGATACAAGGCCCTCTACCTCCTGTTTGGCAAAGGGGTCTCTAAAGGCAAATTTTTGCTTGGAACTCAACCAGTTCTGGAGAGCAAATGGGCTGTGAGACCTAGCACAGCCTGATCTCCTGACAAATTTACTGCAAGGTAGTAGGCAGCTTCAGCAAAAATTTAAAATGCTTTATAATAGCTTTATGGATCTTCTTATATGACCTTGGGGAAATCACTTATTCTCCATGCCTTAATTTCTCATTTTGAAAAGAAGCACTGAAAAGAAAAATATTATCTTAGAGCTGTCAGGAGGGTAAAGTAAGGAACAGCTGAGGCAATGAGACTGCCCCAGCAAGACATGCCATGGGAAAAATCCACAAATAAAGGTTCAGTGCAAACACAGCTCCCTTGTACTCTGAACACCTAGGGGCAACCATGTGAACTCCAGCCAAGGGTGTGAGATACAGATCCATATGCTCAACTATCTGCTTTGCTTGGGGACAACTTAAACCTCTTGCACCCAGACAAATGCTAAGGGAAAAAATTAAAAGGAGTACTTCAGAGGTGTAGTAACCTCAGCCTTCAATGACAAGTAAACAGGGAATGGACCTCGCATATACAATCCCAGCCCCCAGGATGAAGAGTCTTCTTATTTCTTCACCTTTCATTGTGTAAGTATGTTTTAAATACCAGGTTCAGGACAGGAGAAAGGCTGAGAGCTAAACTATCAGAGAAATGTGTGTGTCTGACAGTGAAGAAACTCACCCAAGAGTCTGATTTTAATGTTCTGCTTGAGAAGATTTATCTGAGCCTCAGTCTATTCCATCCCACCAAACGCCATAGTCTGCACTACAAGGAGAAAAAAAGGGGCTGACACCACCACTATTAGTGGGCTTGCTAATCAAGCCTTCAATTTCCTTTCAGTTATATTTGCCTGAATCGAAATCTTACGCATCAAGCAAAAATACAACGGTTTGTGCTTTTGTTTGAGTAAGAAAAGATGGAAAAATCCTAAATTCAATTCTATTCAAAACAATTATTTTCTTTGGCAGCTGAACCAAAAGAACCTGCTAATTATTGACATGTATTCTAGCAAGATTATTTTATCCATGTTCTCATCAGCATACAGTTTCCTCCTACTGCAGGTATAATACTCATCATGAAAGTATCAGTCCACAAAAGGTTTAGATTTCTTTGCTTATTCTCTGTTGCAAAAATTTTTTTCTTGCCAGTCAAAAAAAAAATAACAACCCAAACAACTGCACAAATCACACTCCAAAACCAATTACAAACAAAAGCTCCACAAGAAAACACTCTCACAATTTCATTGTATAATTCCTCTTTTTATTCTGCTGAAGCTTTCCTTCCTTACTGTTCACATGCACAGCTGGTTGTCATGTGCTACATTAACCTAAGTCACATTTTATGCTTCTCAAAATAAAACATACACAAATTTTTGATAAAATAACAGGGAGCATTTGGTCACCCACTTCTCAGCAACCTGTTTGACAAGCTGATGAAAAGGCAGGGACTTAAGAATATTGGAAACCTTGTGGGGTCTTGTGCCTCACTACCACCTGGACCAGGACTCTGCTTCAGGAGCAGTCCACAGCACTAAGTTCCTCAACTCCAGGGCTACAAAGCCAGTTGCTCTGAACCAAGGCCTTTCGGTGAAGCCAGGTGCAGAACAGTAATTCCTTTTCATACAGATTTTTTGAATGTAAGCAAAATACAAATGCATTAAGATTCTGAAATTTCTCTCTCCTCTGTGAAAGAATTATTTTCAACTACTCAGTCACAGACCAGATATGCCACTGACCTACAATTTAGTCCTTCATAATAAATAAATAATACAGGAAACACACATCTCTGAGCATTTTGTTCTAGAAAAATTACTACTCTGAATTTGGTACAGCAAGGAACTTTCATGTATCTTGCAAAAATAAAGCAATATAGGTTTCAAAACCAAACATATGCAATGCCATTAAACCTTTACCACACAGCAGAGAAGCTGCATCCATTTTGTAAACAAACTCATGGGGACACATAAGCAAGGCTTACTGTAATTCTGCTGCATGTGGGTCAGGGTGCTGCTTTTTAAATATTGTTAGACAGCAACATCTTTTTGAGTATTTAACTGAACTTGTAATCTACTAATCATGTTTCACATCTGGTGTTAATATAAGAAGATTAAAAGTAACACAGTCTTTCTATCACCAGTGATGGAATTATGAATCGATGTGCTAACTGCTATAGCCTAGAAGGAAAAAGAAATGTGAAGAAGCAGCTATTCACTTTGAGATGTAGAAATAATTTATATTTCCACAAATTTTATAATTTGTAGACCTGCCATTAATATGTAATAGAAATAAACCTATTCCATAATAGTGGACATAGGTGGATGGACAGTGACCCAAGATACTGCTACAATTCTGGGGTACGCAGGAAGGGAAGAAGCAGCAACTTTAACATGTGGAATTACTTGCCTGGAAGCTAAACAGATTAGTTTGAAACTTGTCACCCACTTGGCTAGGGCATTAAGAATACAAACACTATGTATGGGTAAGATTATGCAAATGACTTGAATTAATAAAGCTGATTATTTCACTCATACTGAGTTTACTTGACATATGTTTGGCTACAGCTGCTAAATGAGGTGCACAAGCTCTACTTAGTACAAGAATCTAAGTGCACTGTGTATATCATATATGTAATTGTATATGTAACTGTGTGTATCATCATAAGTTACTTAACACTGCTATTACTAAATTCTAATTTAAAGAATTGTTGAAATCATTCTGGTCCCAGAGTAAGATAAATCACACAACACCAATACTCTCTTAGTAAAGGAGTTCACAAGTATATGTTCTTGACTGTTCTTAAATAGTTACAGAAGTGATAAAAACTCATTGCAGCTACTTCAGTTGTTCTGCCCTATCTCAAGTTCGCAACTAACTGAAGAAACAAAGCATCTTCACATACCAGTTATCATTTCCCCTCCGTGATGGCCAGATTTCAGAAATCCAAAGACTGTTTTGGATTGATAGGCACAATCCACACAAGCCTGTACTGCCTGCTGAAGTACCACGTTGACAGGACCTGGTCCAAAGTGATCTGGAAGCTGCTGAACCTTCTTCTTATCCAGGTGAGGCCCAGAATTTCCATGCTTGTTGACATAAACACACACTGAAAAATAACAAGACGTATTTATTGCCAAGGAACCATCTTTTTAGTTTTAACCTTGAGGAAAAGATGTACTGGACAACTCAAGAAGCTGAACATGCATACATACTTCCAGAGCATGCAAAAAGTGCTCTCTCTGTCTTCTACCAAGGTTCTCCTGCCTGAGTCTTAAAACACTCTGCTCTTTAAAGCCCTTTTCAAACCACTAATGTAACAAAGATGTCATAAACTGTGCTTATCTTTTGTTTTGACTAACCCCGGTTCATATACTAGTTCAGATAAAGTAAGAATTACTGGCAGGTACTGTAAACTAACAAGATGTGATTCTAAAAAAGGTGGCCTTACCAAGTTACTGCTCTATTTTTTCTCCTGTTTGAGAAGCTGCAACCCTATGGTATATATCTATCACTGATGCTCATCCTGAAGCACCCATGTAGTAGTAACCTGCGCATGTTTTATTGTCCTGTGTGCATGTATAATGGTTACTGAAAGTCCATACCTTAAGAAGCACTGAAGCACCCATGTATGATTTCCACGCTGCAACTTGGCCTTCTCCGCTAAACAAACACTTTTCTAGAAACACTGTAAGGTGGTTTAAACCTTAGCACAAACCAGTCAAACAGGACTTCTGAAATTAGTTTTATAGAGACTACGCAAAACTCTCCTTCGAAAGGGACTGCAAGGCAGAAAAAGGGACTGCAAGGGGAAAAAAAGTTGTAACTGAAAACAGATTACCATACTTTCTATCCTGCGGTATTACTTGGGCTTAGTTAAAACCCTGGATTTTTAAAAATGAAATACTTCTGTGTTTTAATGATCTTATGTCTTCACGTGTATCTGCTCTCTCTGACATCTGCAAATGGGAGGAAGCCTATGTGTACAAATAACCAAAGATACAAATCAGCACAAATAGTTTCCATTCATTTTTTCTCTGGGCTCAACAACATCTATGGCCTGAAAGGTTTATATTCTTAGGAAACGCACACATATTTTTCCCTCGTCCATGACCGAAGTCAAGAGTGAGAAGAGCTTGTAAAAAACAGTTTTTAAATGCAAAAAAGCACCCCAAACAAAATGATCATAACTTATGGAGGTTTTACAAAGTTACGAGATTTCAGTTAACAACATACAAATTGTTTCACTACGGGGTTACAAGTTACTAAATGAGTTAGTTCATTTGATAGATTATTTCTCTTTCGCCAACCCTTTTCAAGACACATTTCATTATCTTTCAAAAAAAAGCAAACATTAAGAGGAAAGAGGAATTTATTTCCTCTGATTGCCTTTACTTGGTTTAAACAGTCTTGATTTTTTCTTTTAATGTAAGGATATTCAGAGATAAAAATCTCCATTTTGTTATATTACACTACAGCCTCCATGATATCAGAATATCATATGGGGTTTTAGCTGCATCTATTCCCTTTTCATATATTAAGGAGCGGGACAGACATGAAGTAACTGTAGTTTCCTTCAGGCAGGAACAAACTGCCCGGTCGATCAGACCTATCACAAGTCCCTGTGCTCCAGCACTTCTTGCTATAACAGAGGCATCAAAATAGTAGTTCCACTAAGTAATACTGGCACCTACAAATGTCTTTAAAAAATAAGGTAGCTAGATAGTGATTTACAGTAAGAACTTTCAGCACATTCACTTGCTTGAAAGGGATGCCATTTAACACTAAAAATATCATAATGTTTTTTCCTTTGTCTTTTACCTGTGGATATAACTGCTGCAGTTGCACCAGACAAACTAACTCCATCTTTAAGTATCTGTGTAGTGCCACCGTCCCTCTCAGGAGAGGAATGAGGAGAAGGAGATGCAGGAGTCAATTGTTCTGGCAAGATTTTTTTCTGTTTAGAGGGAAAAAAAACAAACCAAAACCAACCCAAAATCAAAACACTGAATGCATTTTAAGGAGTCTGCAAAACCTTTCTGCTATCAGTTACCATCTTACTGAATGCAGGTGGTTCATTATTACAAAAATACTACACACAGCAGATAAAAGTCCAGGAAAGGAAGATCAGAAAATGTCAGTTTGCATTTACAGCTACTTAAGTAAGACAGCAGAACACAAATTACTTAAAAAGGAACCCACTTCTGAAAAGTGGGAAAAGAATGAGCTTTATATACTAATTCATGACTCTCCTAAATCTCACAAAGCACCAGAGGTGTTTTGGATTATTTTCCTGTCCATACCCTTCCAATCATCTGGTTTTATCACAGCTCAAAGCAGTTAGCTGGACTACGTGTATATTCCCATGTAGAACTTGAGTCACATCTAGGTGTGAACTACAGTGCACTTAGATTTTCCCTCAGCTTGTTTCAAAGGGGCTGAAATTTTCAAATAATCACTTTCAGGAACTGGTGCTTTACACAAGATATTAAATAAACCAGTAGTTATAATGAAGTCAAGTGAGTCCCAAAAATCTTTTCCTTTCCAAAACTAAACTTATTTGCAACTTATCATGTAACAACCAGATTAAGAAATTGGTCAGTGCATTATTTTTCACCTGAGGAGGAAAGAATTTTATTGTAACATTGTTTGGACTGGGGTTTAGAAAAGAGACATGCACAAAGAAGGTGTTTCTAATGCGTTTTAAGGTGCTACATATGGAAATAAAAGAAATAATGAATTAGAAAGCAGTTCATCACCTCACCCTTCACCATTTATTCTTGTATGGGAACAGATTATGTTCTCATTCTCTTATCTACCAAAAATAAATTAAAAAAAAAAAAAAAAGGAATCCAAGAGATTACCCAAGGTCTTGACACTGCTGAAGACTGCAGACACTTTACTACTCACATGGTAAGGGTTTACTGGTAAAATTAATCTACAGTGGAGTGAAAATTCAGTCAAGTTTCTAAGGAAGGCTAAGCCCTCTTCCATTTAGCAGTAGTCATCCTTTACCTTTTTAGAAACAGCAGATTTCCCAAATATTATGTTAAATGACATGTAGAAAGCAAACAAAATTTACACCTTCCTAAAAGCAGCAGTGCCTAACTTCTTCATAACACCTAAAAAAAACACTTAAAAAGAATAAATTAGCTTTCTTCTGGAATCCAGGAAAGTTTAAAGAAAATTTCTGTGCCCCTTCTTACAGTTCAGAGAAGACAAGTTTGGCTGGAGAAGCTACTTGACAATATGGCACTGGGTGGAATTGCCATAACTGCCAAGGCTTGGCATTGCATTGTGAATGAGATGAGGTGGCTCAGGTCAGACACTGAACTAAGCAGTGATGTATTATTCATCAGGAATTGCCTATGTATCTTAACACTGGATTAAGAAAGGTTTCTCTCCATCCTTAATACTGAGAGCCAAAATGCACTTGGGAAGACTGAGCTTTTGATCTGAAGTCAGACATTCCTGAAAACCCAGGAAACTTTTGGCTTGGGGGCAGTTGTCTGTCACCATGCTGCAAAATATGGGTGGTTGAGTTGAGGGGAAGAGGAAGAAACGGAAGAAATGTAAGCGTGAAAACAAAATACAAACACTGAACTGACGGAGGAACTAGCTGCCCTCCACACTAACACATGAGGGTGGTGAGGCTAGACAGCCATTTCCTACCTCCTCCTTCAGAAGGAGAGCATGCATTTTGGAAATACAGCACATTATGCTTACTCAGCTGAGGTTCCCATTTTGCAACCCCAAACGGAAGAGCAGCAAACTACCACCCCAAAGCCATGCTGCTTGACAAGGTAGGTCGTGTTCTTGGCAGGTCTCATGCATATTTGCTTAGTCAGGGTGTTGCTGGCTGGTCCCTGCAAGCTGGGAGGGTATACAAGCTCAGTTTGCCTGCAGAGAGCACGGCTCACAGCCTGGCACCACATGGCCAACTTCACAGGCTTCCCCTTCACGTGTAGAAAGTCTCCTCTTGTGGGATCGAATTTAGGGCTATGATCCACACTCAGACCAAAGCACTTCCTCAAGAAATTCTGGAAGGAATTCTGTGTTGTTATGCAAAGTGTACTTTTAAAAATAGTGAAAGAGATATAAAGAGATTTCTTCTTCATTATGACAGAATAAAAACATACAGTGCAAACACGGGGAGGGAGACACAAAACAAAACCTGACATGCAACTCACACTGCCAGAGAAGCTTAGAAAACTTCAGTAAAGGAGAAGGATGACTCAACAGCTCAGTATTCCTAGCTGTATAACAAAAATTAATACATGCACAATGATAAACATTGCAGCATAACAAGCATAAAAGGACAAGGAAAGTCAAACATCTCTACAGAGTATCAGGTATAGACCAATCTCCCTAAACACAGAGTTTTTTAACTACCACATAGCCACCTAACACTTCGAAGCACAATTACTTAGTGTGAAAGCTGGAAGGGAGTTTTTTGATCAGTCTTGGGAGGGAAAAAAGCACTTTCAAATTTCTACGCATATACCACTTCCATAGTATTTATCACAGAATCATAGAATGGTTTGGGTTGGAAGGGACCCTAAAGCTCATCTAGTTCAAATCCCCTGCCATGGGCAGGGACAACTTCCACTGGACCAGGTTGCTCAAAGCCCCATCCAACCTGGCCTTGAACACTGCCAGGGATGGGGCAGCCACAGCTTCTCTGGACAACAGGCTGTATGGCATTCCATCTGACACTCGCTTTTGTGCAGAACTCCCACAAAGCTCCACCTCCTCTCTTATGCAAACAGGTGTAACAGTCCAAAGATTTTGCACGTTACGTATAACATCTCAGCAATTTAACCACGTACCAAAGCAGTAACAACCATCCATGGATTCTCAACAAGAGCTAATTTTTAAAGCTTTTACTGCAAAGGTCAATGGAGTAAAACTCCCGAGTTAGATATATCAAACTTAGATTCTACAAAACCTAACTCTTGTTTGCCATGTCCCACAGAGGACATCCTGCGTGCATACAGGTACCTCAGATGCACCGCCTCAAGATAAGGGACTGTCAGCAGTAAACCCTTAAAATACAGATGTCCTGTGTTCTCCTTTAAAGCCCCCCCTGATTTCTGGAGAACACCCCATCCACCAGATGAGTCTGGATGGGAGCACCTTTCTCCTCTTTAATTCATGTCTCTCTGATACACATCAAGCAAGAGAGCTGGAGACCATTTACACCAGTAGCCTACCAATGTGGATGTCTGACTGGAAGGGGCAGGTAGTAGAGACAGCACTTGGTTTTCAATTTCTGGTCCCCAGAAACATTTCTTACCTTGTGGTCATCATTTCAACAAAGTGCCTGCTCCCAGTTTTGTGCTACAGCCTTCTGGGTATGCCCTAATAATGCCCTATTAAAAGAGGGCCACTAATCTACCCCTTTCCACACATAATTAGCAATAGATCCCACACGAAAAACTTCCAAAATACAACTTTTTGAAATCTGAGACAGGGAGGGAGAAAAAAAAGCAATCCAAACCAAAACAAAACCCTAACTCAAAACAAACTCGGAAAACACAATGCCCCCATTGGTGCTAATGCAAAGGAGGGAGGACCATAAGGAACTTGATGATCTTAAGGTCCTTTCCAACCCTAACTATTCCATGATTCTATGACAGACAAATCATTTAGGGAAGGACATTGCAGGATTGTTACTCCTCTTTGGCAGCCTGCAGTGGGTGAGAAGCCTCAGAAAAAAGACTGTACTTCCACAGCAATTCAAACCACCCTAAATCTGCCCTGCTGTGATCCTATCTTTCCTTGCTGCAGATGTAGCTTTTGTGCTTTTTTGGGGTGGAGCAGGCAAAGAAGATAATAAGAGGTATGGATGCTGGGTCAGTTGTCTACCAGTTTAGCTCCCTTAAGTAGCTCATTCTGGGATTATACAGCCACCAGTGCTGGTGTCACATGGGATTGGGAAGGGGGGCTTATAGCAGTGCTCATTTTTACCTTATCAAACAATTCCAGAGGAGCTGAAGCTGAAGCTGCCAGCACTCTAGATCTGATGCAGCTTGGCAGGCAGAAAGGCAGAAAGTCATCTTGTCTTTCAGACCAGGGCAGAATTAGGCCCACACCTGGAGAAATGTATTGCCTGGAAAGAAGCTTCTTGCTTCATGCTAGTAACTTCACAATTAGAGATTCAGTTGGCAAATTCAGCTGTATGCTTAAAATGCCTAAATTCTGCAACAAATCCCTCACTGTTCTTAATCCCTTGTTTCCAAACATGAAACAAACAAAAAAAAAAAAAGAAAAATATTCAAACTATATATATGATTCAGTACCAAAATAACCCAGACTAAAAAGTCTGAAGGCTCTCCTGGCTCTTGTAATTTTACTGGAAATGGCTATTCCAGGATATTAAACACCAGCAACTCACCCATCAACAAATCAGTAATCTTGCTCTGGAATGAAATAATCCATAGTTTATACCGACATATTCCAGAATAGCTATTCTAGACTTTTCTTGTAATCAGTTGCTGAAAACAGTAAAGCCCTGAAGGCTGAAGAGAAGACAGAAAATTAAATGGTAACAAAAAAAAAAAAAAAGTCTCACTACAAAATTTTTCAGTAAAAAGTAAAGTAGTAGATAAGGACTAACCTTTTTTCCAGGTTTTAAACTTTTTTTCCTTGTTTTAAGATTTTCAGTATGAGAGATGCTTTTTGTCAGGGGAATATTTTTAGGAGACCTGCCCTTCTTGGGAACTGCAGACTGTCCAGGGGGTTTGCCCCGACCTGGTTTCCTGCCCCGTTGCGCTGGTACCGGAGCAGATTTCTGTGGAGACTGCATTGAACGCCGGGTCACTTTGGAAGGGGAAGATTGGATTTTTGCACTGCTCTTTGTAATGGAAACTGAGGAAAAACAAAAACAAAAGGGAAAGGGGGGAAAACCTCAAAATGAATGATGGAAAGAAACTTTTCTAACAAAAGTTTAAAAAGAAATAAAATGTAGTGCACAATTTACAATGTAAAATAAATATACTTGGATATTTTGAACTTAAGTGGCTGGCATGTAACTACAGAACTTTATTAAAGCCAAAGACAGAGCTCTTTATACCTGTTCTTTTAGAGGGACTGTTTAGAGGAAAAAACATTCAAACAAAAAATAATTAATCCACTCACCTTATAAATGCTTCCTATAATTTAACTACAATATTTATAAAGTGCCATTCATCAAGAAGGCCTTCAAAATACTTCAGAAATTATAGAGCTCATAATATATCTATTCTCTAAGAGCAGTTTCCACAATTACAAGACATGCCAACTACTTCTAGGGAGCTAAAAAAAAAAAGCAAAGAAAATCATCCCACTAATGAGGAGAAACTAATGATAGGAAATGTATCATGAATGAGTATTTATCTAAGATGCCTGTTTAGAAACTTAAATTCACATAACTATACCCAGATTTTTCTACCTGGAGCTACTGAGACTTAAAATTTTATTTGCAAGAAGGACTTCCAAAAATCAAACACAAAGTATCATTTTAATTCAGTCTTAACACTAAACCAGTTCTCTGTTGAATCTCCTATCGCAATACAAAATTGATCCAATATGTATATGATGTGACTGTATTATAACCTGGTATAAAGCTGCAAGACATAATCAGAATTCATTGCATAGAACTTCCTAGTTAGGAATGTTTACCACACAACACACTATTCTCTGAAGTAATAATGATGATTTTGTTTTAATAATTCCCTTCACAATGGAGAGATTAAAACACCAGAAGGATGTCAAACAGAACCCACAGATAAGGACAAATCCTCAATGCAGAGATGTACGACACCATGCTACAGCAGCACCTGCGGCCAACGAAACACAATTACTAAGTCCAAAAATACGACAAATATTGTGTTTTGTTGATCTGTTTGCTGGCAAGCAGATCAACTGAGGAAGAGGTAAGTTGAAAATGAAAACCAGAGATGTGACAGCAAACCATCCTTGTGACAGCTATAGGAAAGGATCACACAACAGGGTTGAGATAATCTGAAACCTTTAGACTATGATCAGATGGCTTTCTAGTTTCACACTGCCCCCACTACAGACTTTTGTATCTCCCTGATGATGAAACTCCCATGATTCTCCCTAACCCTAGGTACTAGAACTTAATGTGACACAACTCAGAAGTGTTGCAAGTGAGGGCTCAAGTGGGCTTTCACTGTATCATTCACCAGTGCCTGATCCAAAGCACTACTGCAGACTGAAAGTGAAGCACAGGGGGCTGCCAATAATTAATTTCCAGGATTTCTGTGAATTTGGAATATTTCTTCTCCTAAAATATTAGTATGTTGAGGCTTTCTGGTAGGCAAATAAAACATGAAATAAAACTCAAAGACACATTTGAAATGAGATCTTGAGAAAAGAACATAGTTACAGATTGAGTATCAGTTTTAACGTCTAGCTCTATGAGTGATATTCGCCTTAACAGCCCAGAAGCCAGCTTTACAACTGTTCCTTTAACTTTGAATTTTTATTCAGGAGTTCACTGTTATTAAGTATTTGCAACAGAGAATGTCACAGTAAGATGAAATACACACTGCATACAGACTTCTAACAAAATACACGTACTACTGATACACATTTTAAAAGCTGTAGGAGCATTCACATACATTGCTATTTGATTCTGTTACTAATCTAATATTTCTGACAGCAGTTCAGAAAAAAAATCTCTTCATTATAACCGCCTGCAATCGTAATACATCAAATACAGACATGATATCCCTAGGTATCTGAGAAGGACCACCTCCTGGATGTGCAAAGTGATCACTTCCATTTTATTTATGTATGCCAAAACTTGCTCTCATATGCACTGACAGCTTAAAACAAGATGAACAGGATTTTAACCAAATGCTGGCATAACATTACTCAGAGATCTCTGAATTGCTGAATGACACCTCGCATTAAGCCATACATCTGGAAAGCAAAACACTACCAACTGAATGCTGTACAATTCAGTACTACATATTGCGTCCTGTATAACGCTTGCACTAATGTAAAATGAAGCTATTTTTATTTGCGCTACACAACTATGCATTTAGCAAAACAATCATGACCTCCAAAAGAAACGTTTCACAAATTCTTTGTGCCCCTGCCTATGCTGAAATCTAATACATGCATTTCTGTTCTCACACAGTAAAGACAGAGCTAAGGTTAAATACACAGCTAATTGCAATGTCAACAGGTTCTAGGAACACAGGTATGAGTTTCAGGACACTGGGTAATCCCTACTGCCTTCCCGAAGGACATTTACCGGACAAAGAGTAACAATGAAAACAGCTCCAACCACTTCAGGCTGCCCTCTTGAACCACACACATCAAGTACCCTTATCTCAGTATCTTCCTACCTGCATACTCCAGAGAACCAAATATTAGCAGCATTAACCATTAAGGGGGGGAATCAGGTCCCATTTGATATTCTTTCTTCTGCCTAGGGCTGAAGCTGCTTTTTTCAATAGGCAGGACTGCAACAAAGCCCATGCTGTCTGGGCAGCCTCCCAGAGATAGCAGCAAATGAGGAGGCTGATATTTGCATTTGTTGATTTAAGAGAGGATGGGGGGAGCACAAGGGAGTGGGAGACTGCTAAAGTAATTCCCATATTGTCTGCAGGCTGTATTGACAGTAATCATCAGTCACCTGCTCATACTTTCTTCAACCCAGCCTTCAGAGGGAGACCAAAGGTTACGCTGGGTCACAGGATCTGAAGGGAAATGAAAAGACATGCAAAAATCGAGCTGCCAACCCACTGCATCTGTAGGCAGAGTTATTCCCACTAGGCCACATGTTCCAAAAACTAAGATGTTTTAATAGTCTCATGAGAACTTGTTAAAATACAACGATGAAAAGAATAGAGAGGAAAAATGCCAAGCTCTGCTTGCAATTACTGCAGTATTTAGCTGGGATATTTACAACCAAAAAAGCACATTTGCCTTTTCAGGCTGCTGCTTTGCATCACAAAGACCTTCTCATTTGCACAAACAAAATCAAGCATTTGTGTCATGTTGCTCTTCTACACAAATTTCCACTGCTCCAGTTTCAAGAGAGGGATGCATTGCATGGCATTCTTTCCCAAGTCTCTTATTTACACCCTAAACCTACTGGCATCCTCAATAACTGAGGAACAGACATCTTGCTACACAAACATACTTTACCATTGCAATGTTAGCAACTAAACAGCATTTTCAACTACACACAGCTCCAGTTATACTGTCATGTTGGTGAGGGCTATAGGTGACTACCTTCTCACAACACACAAACAGCTTCAATACTTTCAATCACTGCTCATTCAAAACCTTCTAATTTTCTCCCCAAAACTATTCGGTGAGAACCCCAACACCTATAAACTTTGTATCTAACATATGTGAGAGAAACCCCAAATCCACTATCTTGGAACTCACAGCTTAAAGATGCATTGCCACAAGTCAGTTCTCATTCACACAAGCAGATCATCCACTGGAGCCAACCAAACTCATTTGCATGAGAAGCACATGAAAGATTAGACTTTAGATGAGGGCCAAATTCTGCTGGTAGAAGCAGAAAACCTGCCCAGACACATGCAGGACTACAAAATTTGACCCCAGAATGTTATCCCAAAGATCTCTATCTAGAATAAGTCAGATATTTAAGACAACTGTGAAATCCGAAGCTACTGAAAGCTCCAGCACCTGGGAAGGGGATGGGGCAGATGACAGCTTTGAAGCCTGAATTCTCATGCAATTTTAATTAGTAAAATTCCCTCAAATAATCCACAGTTATGTTTTCACTCCATGCTTTTATGCAAAGCAAAGGGAAAAAAGGTTCAGGCTAGTAGTAATATTTAAACATTAGAAATCTACTATTCAGTTAGTGTCACAGAACAGCAATTACAAGACAAGACTTTAAAAAGCTTTAGTTGAAATGACACAAAACAATACAGGGGCCCATTCTGCTGTACATTCTGTGAATACAGCATTGCTACCTTAGGTGAAGGTGCCGATTAGGACTGTAAAAATAGTAAATCACTGTTTAAATCAGCATTTCTTTCAAGACAGAAAGAATTCATTTGTACTGAAGTATTGTTCCTATGCCCCCACTGAGACACAAGCCAAATGTTCTTCTGAGAACCTAAAAGCCCAGCCCTTCTCTCATCTATAGATAAAAAAAATGAGGTGAAGAGATTTAGCAGATTACCCTAAATCCATGTGAGCATTTCACAGCAGAAGTAATGGAAACATCCCTCCTCAGTTCTAGATGGGGATTTTAACTATAAAATTAACCTTCTTTAATGCAGTAGGTTATTATCATGATAGTTTTGACAACTGGCAAAGGAGGTGGAAAAGATTAGCAATTTTTCTAAACAGCTTACTGTCAAGGATTATAAAAACTTATGTCCTTATGTCTCAACTGAACAAGAAAGCCATACAAAAGCATAAATATCTGTAATACATGACACCTCTTTCTATCTGTGTTTGGATTACTTCTGGTTAAGAGGTAGCTGTGAGATACTAATTGATATGTTGCTATGATACAAAGTCATCATTTTGGATCTAAAAAGCAACAGCGCATTTGGAAACTTCACCATCCACCTTGGCAAGACATGGACATTATGGCTTGCAATTTTCTTTGTTCTGGATTTTAGTTTCTGCTACCTGCATAACAAAAGAAAAGGAAAAAAACCCCAACAACAAAACCCAAACAAAACTAACCACCAAACAAATTACAAAAAACCACCAAACAAAACAAACCCAAACAAAAACACAGAAGACTCCTGCCATATCTTCTTTAAAAAATCCTAGCCTTCCTTTCACAGGCCTGAAAGGTGAAATTGTGAAAGGTGAAATGGGTAAAAAGGAGAGCTCTAAGTGACATAAAACAA